TTGCGAAACAGTTTTTTTTTATGTAAGTATACATACATACATAGGTAGGTAATGCTAGTTAAGTTAAAGATAATAAGGACAGTTACAAGAAGTAATGACGTACATTTAACAATAGCTTGATGAAAAACTTAAATCGTAAATAAAATGACAAAAGAGGTCCTTTTCTCACAATCCAAAATCGTTGTTAACCTAACAAGTGAGGAAAGTGTTTCTGCACGTGATGGAAGTTGCACGAATGCAAACAAAAGCAAACGTTTAAGTCCAGAAAATACACTTTCCGCATGTGTTAGGTAGAAAGTTTATGTAGTTATACATAATATAAAGCTCATTCAAGAAACTGATTTCGCCTGGATGATAGAATAAATATTTTTGATAATAGTCTATACCCTTTACCACTAGCTTTAAGCAAAGACAACGCCAACAACTTCTCGTCCAATGTAAATCGTCTAGCTTTAGGCTTTTGGTTTTGAGTACGGACTTGGCTTAAAATAAAGCTGTATATCAATGGATTGACGTGGTCTACGAGCCTTTGAAATTTGGTTGATGATGCAAGTTATTCAGCAGCAGAAACTTTGGATTTAAATGACGACAACCTTCTACTGATTCTTCTTAACTTATTGCTGGATTCTATAACTTTGGAATAAAGATATTTTTCCCTTGGGGATAGGAATTTTTGCCTAGTGACGTTAATGTTCTTTAAAATTTGGCATCGTCTCTCATGACCTGCAAAAAAATAAAATAAAATCAAGATTGTAGACAAGCTTTTCGCACATTCAGCTTCTAATTTTTCTAGCATTCGACTGCAAGTTTTAGTAATTAGTAGTCTTTTATAGTAGTAGTCCTACTTGGAGTACTTGGGTTAGGATGTTTTAAAATTCAAATACCTACTCCCAAGCGGGTGGTTATTCATTAAGCAATAACACTTACCAATAAAAGTTTTAAGAGACAAAGTTGGTGACTTTTTTATGTTTGCAGATGTGATGGTTCCACTTGGTGTAACAATGTCTGCCCGAATTGCAGAAGTTTCAGTAGATAAAAATTGACGACATGAAGGGCCTGGTTGATCTAAAACAGAAATTTCGTTAACAATGATTCTACCAAAAAAGTTTGGATACACGCATTGTAGATTATGGTGTACCTGTATGTAACCAGGAATATTTTAATTATTGTGTCTCCTGATAAAGGAATAAACATTAAAAAAAAAGAAATGAATAATAGTAGCTTTGTTCCAACACAGCAAAAAACCGTACAATGTACCGTCACGATTCCGCGCAGAAACTAAAATTGGTATACTGATGAGTGGTTTCGAAACCGTTCATGGGACGATTTTTTGACGTGTTGGAACAGACTTATTATGTTTACCTACCTATATCAATCATAGTTGCGAAACTAATTTCTGAAGACGTCTTAGGACTCTTACGAGTTTCAACTGGTCGATCTCCACTTTTTGCCATTTTGGTGATTGTGGTTTATCAATTAACGACTCCTCACTGTTTTTGATAATTGGGGCTAAAATTGAAATTAATTTTAATGTTTCTGACCTATGCTCCTTTAAACCCGAATTCTAACACGTCGTTAATCAGAACTATGGGGAGGAGTAAGTGAAAATGTAAGTACGTCTTTCTCACATATATCTAGTAGTATTAACTTACCTTCAGGGAGATACAGCAAAAGCGCAGCATTCCATGTGAGTCCTCGTCTGGCTTTTGGATCGCCAACAATAAATTCTCGAGGAAAATGTCTTGTTCACACTCTATAATTATTATAAGCCTTCTCGACACTGAGGCTATTTAGCAAAGGATTGCGAACTTTTATTAGCCATTGTTTCATTTTTTCGGCATCTTTTGGAAACCGGAAATAGCTGCGGTATTTGTCGCCGCACCCCGGAACACAGCATTTCTGATGCTTTCCAATTAACAAACTGAGAGAAGACATTTTGAGATAATAATTATTGATAATTGATAGGTAATTGATAATTCTAAATGTTTGGAGAAGTCAAAATTTAAATTTTGACGACTGGAAATGACAAAATAAACTTCAAATCTTGGCGCACGCTCCGGCAGGAAAAAGAGAACTTCAATAGGTCGATTGAAGCGCCTCTAGTGATTGGAGGGGAAAGCTGAAACGACTAGACTGACGTCTCTCATAAGACTTACATTTCTAAGGGGGGATGTTTTGTGCTAACAAACTGACACATTTCTGGTGTTGTCAATCATGCAACATAACAGATTTCTGTCAAAAAGACTATAATTATAATAAAAAATTTGAACAAGTGGATAAAATTGACGTATGAGTGGGTAAAATTGACGTATGAGTGGGTAAAATTGACATATGAGTGGGTAAAAATTGTTCGATTTCACTACTTCAAATAAAGTGTTACTTTAACAACGAGTTTTGAGTCGATTAAATGATAGTTTCCCATTCGCGATAGAATAAATTAATTAATTAAGACATAACAATAATATGATTTAAGTTTATCAGAGTAGTTTTGGCATTCTTAGAATCCTTAGATTAGTCATATGGATGTCAAATCAGCAAGCTTGTACCTATTTAGTCTAAAAATTTGGAGAAATTCAATGCCTCCAGAATCTCAAAGAAGGAAAATTATGTCAAATAATCTTTGGAATCTTGATGAGTCTCAAATTATTTATGATCATTAACTCGCCCTAATATTACGATTCCTTAATAGTAAATTAATCTTCACAACATCAAATAAAATTACGACCCTTTTAGGCTTTTGAGCTCTGTAATTTTTTTCCGTCAACCCCAGATTAGCTTCGCACCAGTGGACGTGTTTCCAAGCTTTAATTCTATTTTTGCTGGCAAACTTTTATGCCTATTTGGGGGTTTTATATCAGAAAAGTTTTTTATTCAATCAAAATCGAACTTAATCTTCACATGCGCTTCGAAATAACTCTATTGGATTTAATTTAGGCATTTTCAGTAAATTTTCTCTTCAATTTATTAGTAGTAGACGAGTAACAAACCCCTTTTATTACATAAACCAGTGAAAATACTAATCTGAAAGAAACTCCAGAGAAATCGGCCTAAAATGCCATTTCATAACAAAAGCAAACACACAATGAAGACTGAGGATTAAATTAAAACGTCTCTAATGCCGGGGTTTGCTCGCTGCGGCTATTCGATGGCCGATAAAAAGGACACTAAAACATAGAAGTCATTAGTGGCATTGTTTGTTTCTTTTTCTCTTATTTTCGAACTGGTCGTTTTTTTTTTCTATATCCCGCTCGTTTATTTCCAAACCTCTTCTGTTATTAGATGGCTATAGGGCGTTAAAGCGAAACAAATTAGGGCCATTTTCTTGTTTCAACTCATTACTTTGAAGTCCGAAAAAGAAATTAGGCAGAGATCGAGTAGGTACCTACCTTTCGATTGCGGAGATAATTCATTTTGTTGCGGCGGTAATTCGTTTTCTGGGGAAAAGGGATTTTTTTTTTTTTCAATTTGATACCACAGTAGATCGATTTTGGTTTCTATTAGTTTTGAAATTAAAAAAAAAAATATATATATACCTATATATTCCGTCGAAGGGAATTTAGAGAAAATCCACATCACAGAATTGGAAACAGATATAGGTTGAGTTCTGCTCTGAGGAAATATAGTTGTTCTTTTTTGTCTCCGGTGAGATTTTGCTTTTTGCCATTTTATCCAATTTCCTTTCTCTTTCCTATCCTTCTTCCAGAACTGATTTTAGGAAATTTTCACTTCAGCAACTGGTTGGATCTTGAAGAAAATAGAGATGATGTTGCTTCGAAGTATCAGTCATAACTCTCATAAAGATATACTCACTTACTACTTTTTCTTGTTGCTGGAAAAGAACTTTAACTAGAGAGTGGAGTAGAGAGCATGATGATGAAATGTGAAATTTACAAATGTTTTTTTAATTCCTGATTACTGGATCTTTGACTTTTCTTATTTTTTAAATTCTAGGCTCTTGAATCTTCCCTTAGATGCAAACAAATTCAACTCACTGACATTTAATATGTCGAATCTTTCTGTGTCCTATGCAAACCTTTCATTAAAAAATCGTCACCATATTCATATTTCCAATACCTATATTTTTCCACCTCAGTTATGATTTTTTGTATGAAAATAGGATTATTTTGCGTTTTTTCAGAGAGAAAATACATTTTCCAAGAATTACTTACTAGCAACAAACCATATACCTGCAATACGAGGTATTGATTAGCGACGAATTAACAATACTAGTTGACTTTGAGACGAATCATTGTCCTATGGAATGAGTTGCAATGATAAGACGAATTACGTTTTATTCTGCTTCATTTGTAAGTAAAATTTCATTATTGATTTCTCACTTACTCTAACATCATTTTTGGTACCTATTTAATGTATGCCCTGATAATGAAAATTGTATAGTTACGAAACATGTTCGCTGTTTTCATTTGTGGAGGAACACTTTTGTGTTTCTTCTCTTCTCCTATGAATTTCAGTATAAAACTGCTGCAAACTGCTAGATAATAATAATTTAGAAATGGCACACAAGATAACGGGATCTGGGCTCCTTAGATTTTTTTGTCATCTACTATTGGAGAAATGACATAGCCGGGTAATGTATACCGAAACGAAACATTATAGCTATTTACAAGTTTTATCTTACAATATTTATTTTGTAATGAAAATGATACATTTATGAGCTAGTTTTTCGATTCATGCATGATAACCTTTGGGAGCCTTCTACAATAAATTCACGTTATAGCAAAATCGGCCTTAAACAAGCTTGATATATTCAGGTTGTTGCAATGTGTTTTTGTAATAAAATTTAAAAAAAAAAGTTCCTTTATAGATATGGGTCCAGCAACGTTCCAATTTACAACAGAAGTAGTCAAAAAGTCATCAGGAATGATGAAATTTCTTCCACGAAAAAAATAAAAATAAAATTTTCTGGCTTTAAAAAACCTCAGAATTTTAGGAAAAAATATAACACAATAAATAATAATATATTGAAATATTTCGCTCACCTTCCAATCAAAAACCCATGATGTGATGTCCCAAACAAAATTACCAAAACCACCCAAAAAATTTTTGTCGATCGCAAAAATCTAAAGTCACATACACACTTGCAATTTGATGAAAATATAACCGCGATCGAGCTTCTCTAGCTTCGCAAGCGGTTTCAGCGTTCCGCTGTATCTGGAGCCCGATTTGAATCTACAAGTTCAACACGGAGGTCCGAGATGGAAGAGAAATTTTTGGGCATCGCGACGCCCAGCGACGCACGCGTTTTGTATCCTACAGTTGCCGATTTTACTCCCCATACGTACACACCTTTTCGTAATGTAGTATAAAGCGAGTATCGGGAAAAAAGAAACGACGTGTGAAAATTGGAATAACAATTGGTCTGTTGGGGATAAAGGGGACGATTAGCCAAATTGGAGGTTGTAATGTAACTTTTTTTTTTTAGTCAAAAAAGAAAAAAGAAAAAATTAAATTTTAGCCACAAAACTTCAAAAGTATTGTTTGTCGATTTTTATCTGACACTTTCCGTATGTGGAGCGAGGGGGTGAAGTATATGGAAAAAACAGGTATGACGTCAGGTGACCATTGGCGTTTAAATGCAGGGTGCCACCAGCTCACATCTCTTTCGAGTATCAGATTAACATCAACAGACTTTACTTATGATGAGAAAGGATACAGAGTTTAACTAAAACGAATATAATAATTATTAAGATGCGGAGTTGTTGGTTGATGATAGGTCAATAAAACAGCTCAGAGAATCAAATTTTTTGTATTGATCAACGTTTCGACCAATATATGGTCATCCACAGGATCATATAAGTTAAATCCTCGATGTTAACATTAAAAAATAATAAAATATAAGGAACATAATGACAGCTATTAATGTTATATAACAGATAATATGGCGAGTCCTTTCTATTGACGTTATTGAAGGATTGATGTGACGCTGGGTTTTATCGACCTATTACCAACCAACAACTCCGCATGTAAATACATTGTAAGGTCACAAAAAAACCATCTAGATAATAATCATTAATTTAGTGCTTGGCAGTCCAGTGCACTGAACTGAACCAGAAGCGAGTCACTATAGGACTACCTACAAAGTTAAGATTTCCAAAATATTCAGTAAATTGAAACGAGTTTAAATGTAAAACCCACGTAGAAAACCCTTGGGAAAGACTAGGTAAATTGAAAAATGAAATTAACAACTTGTCCAATCTCAAAATTAGATATAGTTATCATTACATTATAAAACTATTTTAGGTTCAAATAATCATCCATTCAAAATCACTAACCATAATTTTTAATAAGTAAGTAAGTAAGCTTTTAATTAAAAAAATAATGTTTAAAATATTTTGAGTCAGCATAGGCACGGCATAATAATAATTCCTGGTTTACTACATCTGCAAACGGTAGCTGATTTATTAATTGAAATTAGTACCTACATCAACCTTAAGTTAATGCGTTACATTTTTAGTATAATTAGTTACAGTTTTCAAATAATAAAACAGTATTAAACTAGATCTTAGTTTTTACTCAACCCTAAACCACTACAGCCACAGGTCATCAAGCAGAAAGTTAACAAAGGAAAACTTCCCTCAAAGAAAATGCATCAAAAGGATATTATTTCTTCACAACTTATAATCTAACCAATACCCTATTTAGGACTGAAATGGCCCATGCCCATGTATAAATTAATTCAATTTATCAATCAAAGATGGAAATATTTCGAAAATTCGGCAACAAAAGGCAGATACACACCTCATACATAGAAAACCATACGACAATATACAAAACTGTATGATTAAACGAAAACTGTTCATAGGAAACTGTATGATTATTCAAAAACTATACATAGGATTGAATTCATACTAACATGGTTGAGGGTGTTGTCAGAAACAGGAAAATACTAGTGATGTAGGTACATTCGATCGACCTACCAATGGAGAACCATACGAAAATATACAAAACTGTACATAGGATTGAATTCATACTAACATGGAAAGGTTGAGGGGGTAGTCAGAAACAGGAAAATAACAGTGGCGTAGACTCGATCGACCTACGAATGGAAAACCATACGAAAATATAAAAAACTGTATGATTATTCAAAAACTGTACAAAGGATTAAATTCATACTAACATGGAAAGATTGAGGGGGTAGTAAGAAACAAGAAAATATCAGTGGCATAGACTCGATCGCCTACGAATGGAGAACCATACTAGAATATACAAAACTGTATGATTATTCAAAAACTGTACATAGGAGACTGTATGATTATTCAAAAACTGTACATAGGATTAAATTCATACTAACAAGGAAAAGTTGAGGTGATAATTAGAAACAGGTTAATGCCAGTGGCGTACACTCGATCGACCTACGAATGGAGAACCATACGACAATATACAAAACTGTATGATTAAACGAAAACTGTTCATAGGAAACTGTATGATTATTCAAAAACTGTACATAGGATTGAATTCATACTAACATGGTTGAGGGTGTAGTCAGAAACAGGAAAATACTAGTGATGTACACTCGATCGACCTACGAATGGAGAACCATACGAAAATATACAAAACTGTATGATTATTCAAAAACTGTACAGGGATTGAATTCATACTAACATGGAAAGGTTGAGGGGGTAGTCAGAAACAGGAAAATACCAGTGGCATATACTCGATCGACCTACGAATGGAGAACTATACGAAAATATACAAAACTATACGATTATTCAAAAACTGTACATGAGAAACTGTACGATTATTCAAAAACTGTACATAGGATTGAATTCATACTAACATGGAAAGATTGAGGGTGTAGTCGGAAACAGGAAAATACCAGTGGCATGTACTCGATCGACCTACGAATGAAGAACTTTATGAAAATATATATGATTATTCAAAAACTGTGAGGTGAAGTGGGGTAATTGTGATATAGTTTTTTATTAGGTTCAATTTATAGCGCTGCCAAATGAAAACTATAACCATTAAAATTTTGAAAAAAATTACAATATATTTTTAACATGTTTACTGTCTGATAATGTATTTTCAGAATAGATATCATTATACTTTTTTTGTAGGGTGTATTTTTTTAAAACAATCCTATTATATCACATTTACCCCAGAGTTCGGGGCAAATGTGATAATGGGCTGTATGTTCGAATTCAATGCATGTGTATTAATTATTGGGGCAAATGTATAAAATATAGAAAATTTGGCGCATTTCTATTTTTTATTGATCAAAATATCTCAAATATTACAAAAGTTATAAACTTTCCAAACATAGAACCAAAAAAAGCAGCTTTCTAACACATAACAAAATATTACAAAATGTGAGAGTACTTGTCAAAAGGTACAAAACTGAGTACAAAACTATAAATGATAGCCCCCAAAGCGAACTGGGAAGTCAAGTAGCCACATCGGTCAATATTTGGCCAAACAAATTTATTTTTGTAAACTCTAATAAATTTATCAACCCATCCTTCATCTTTCTGCTCTATCACGTTACCAACAAAAGGCTTGATTAGCTTCTTTGTAGAATATTTTACAAGGACCCAACATCCCGGAGTGATAATATTTTGGAGTTCTTGCATGTTTAAGTTATTTTCAGCAACATTATTCTCTAAAATTTCATCCAAAAACTCCTCAGAATTGTCCGACTCAATAAAGACGGGGGATTTCCATGTATATCACACAAAAATTGGGAGAATATCTTTTTGGGCAATTATTGTCCTACATGATTGCGCTGCCAGGTGACAAGTTTTTCATCCCACTTACATTTAAAGGATTTGAATACTGCAAGATCTAAATGTTGGAGCAGGTGACTGGTATGTGGAGGGAGATTTAAAATTGTTATTTGTTCCTTGGCAGCAGCTTCCAAAGTGGCAAGGGTAACGAGGGTTGAGTGACCTTCATATACAATAAGTACAGGTCGCTCTGTACCCACGAACGGCACTACAGTTTTATTAGAATAATTTTTGGATGTATCCGCTTTCATCCAGGAGTTTTTGCTAGCAGCATACACAGTTCCTTTGAATGCGTGTTCTGGGGGAGCTAGCCATTGGTCTTATATATTTTTTCCTTTTATATATTGTAGTACCTATAACATACCCGGGTTCGTTCAGCAAGATTGCACGGTGTGAATTTTCATTACCTTTCAAACAACAAATCTTCTGAAAAAACAAAATGAAAAACAAATAGGACCTACGTTGTGGAAACTTACTCAATTTTACTTACGCCCGACATAGCGAATATTAGGGAAATTTAAGGGAGGTTGTGATATGTAAAAGAAACGAAAAATTTGTGAAACGTCTACTTCTTTAAGTAGATCGTACCGTTCTCATCCTGGAACTAACGAGGGGAAAGAGCACGGCAGAGAAACCTTCGATCTAACATTCCTCAAAAATCGAAACATACTCTGTCATTTTAATAATAATTGTGAGTCATTAATTCAATAATTTAAGTCAATAAAAGTTTAAATTAGGTACCATCCTTAATCTTTGTGCTAATATTTTAATTACACACACAGAATTCAATCAACACTACCTATATTCAATACGGAAGAGTTTTTTTGTTAATTAGCTTGTTTCCCAGCTGGTACTGAGGTTCCATACGGGAAGCTACTCAGTTATAGTTGTTTTTGAGTCAATATCTCTAGATTGATTATTTCAATCAATATTCTCTCGTTAGGGTAGGAAAATTTTAGTTAATTCAACAAGGCCCTAATGTACGCTCTAAATCCAACAATCAAAATCCCAGCACAAAAGACATCACGTAATTTTTCCAGGTTTTAATTTACTCTTTATCTGTGTTGTTTACAGCATGAAACGATTTTTGTTCAATACATGAACAATGCACATGTTATAAATAAAATGTTAAAAACAAACAAAAAAACATAAGAATGGAAAAAATGATACTTGTATAAATAATTGAACTCTCAAAAAAAAAACAATTATTTAACTGGCCTGTTATCGCTCCTTGACACACACACTAATAACAAATTTGATTGAACAATCAATTTAATGCAAAATATAAATAAAAATTGAATAATTAATAATTACAGACACGCGTCTAAAGGGACCAGCCCAGCATATTCTCTAGTCTAATGCCTAATCGCTTCTTCTCTACCTCCCGTTCGGTTCGGTACTCTCGTTCTCCCCTAAACCTAAACTTCGTGGCGTTTTT